TCCTATATTTATACTAATTAAGATAGTATCCTACTCAAACTCTAAATCTAAAAGATAAACTCAGTAAAATAGAAACCTTATCAAACTCTAAAACAATCAAACAAAACTTAAATATATAATTTTCCTAAAATGCCCCTGCACTCATAAATCCGATTAATCCAACAATGAGGCGCGCTATTTTTTATAGCTTTGCTGGTCATACTCATTTGGCCAAACGGTTGTGGAGCACCAATTTGATCAGCGGTGGTAGTCCCGGTTACAGATGACCCCACCGGACGTATATCAGTTTTTGAAGGTGGCAAATCATAACCCTCATAAATGCCGTCAGCAGTGGGTTGGGAAGTCTGGCAGGGGTTCTCTATCGATCCAATGGACGGTGGTTGACCATAAAGATCGTATTCAGTGACGGTGTCCATGTGCTTTTGCGAGTTTTCTTGGTGACGGGCCAAAGCTTGAAACGACGGAAGTTGAGAGGCGGCGTCAAAAGTCTGGTTGCCGGTAACTGATGTAGAAAGGGATTGCACGTCGGAGAGTGATTGATAATTGTGGTCATGGAAGTTTTCAAGATTGTAGGGGTTGTCCTGATCCATGGTTCTGTTTGCAAGAGATGTGAGTGATGGGGGAGTAGACATTTTTGAAGGTGTACAAGCTCTTCGGGAGTTGTGGGGGTACGATATATATACATATAGAGAGTAAAGAGAAAGACATGTGCTTCACCAAGTCTTGTTAACAGTGAGACTGTGAGAGCATCCTATGTTAGGCAGCTGTCATTCACATGACGTAATTACTAGATCTAGTATTTATGAGTTAAAAAGTTAAAAGTACCTTTGTTAAAAAAAATGTTCGCTTGAGCTTTTGTAATTATCATTTTACATTTTTTTTTCTTTTCCTAAAACCGACATATCCATACACAGCATCCACTATGGCTTTTTGCTGGGGTCGATTGTTTCAAAGAAGAGGTACATAGTTTTTTGGTTATTATAGTACAGTTTTAGGGACTTTTTATTTATTTGTTTATGTAAATTTCTTGACTAATCTGTGGAAGGAGGATAACACTTAAAGTGTGGAATGTTTTGTTTTTTGGATGGGTTGGAGGGAAAGATGAATGCATGGATTTAAGGGGGGGGGGGGGGG